GCGCGGAGGGGGGGGGGGCGGCTGAGGACCGTGCTGAGAGGACAGTTGGCAAGGGTTGAGGGAGAGGGGGATCGCCCCTCTGGAGAGGGAGAGCAGGGGAGAAGTGTGTCGATGATGCGCGGCCGGGCAGCAGTCACCGCCACAGGTGACTTGCGAGCACGGCCACGCGACTCCACACACTTGACTGTGCCTCTTATGACTCTTGCCAAATGCTGGCCACCCCTGCGATTTCCTCGCAGGTGCTGAACGAAGCAAGCCTCACAGAGCAGACAGCTGCGTAATCTGCTGCTACCGCCGCCGCTGCCGCCGCCGCCGCCGCTGTTGGTGCGGCTGCAGCTGCGGCAGCTACAATAACCAGGCTGGCGTGAACAATAACCAGGGATGGGAGAGAATGCCGGGACCAGGGCGGGCCGGGTGTCGCCGCAAATAATCTCAACACCCCCCCCCCAAAGCAGCCGGGGTCGTGCGCAAGAGAGCAGCAGCTGAACAGCAGCACAACAAGAGAGGGTTTCTGTGGGCCTCGCTCGGGGTGGCCGCCAGGACCACGCTCACTTCATCGCTGGCAGGGCTCTGGCCGCGGGGCGTCCATCACTGAAGCCGGCTGGGATCGCTGTGCTATGCTGCCGTCGGCACCCAACTCAACCGCCAAATCGGGATGTGGGATCACGCTTTGCCTTCGCCGCCGCTGCAGGATGATGCGCTTGCATGCTTACTTGCAGCAAATGATTTGTTTGTTCATGCATGGCACACTGCTTGAGCAGTTTGATTGCAATCGAATATGCTTTCCTTCTGAACCATGTGTGGCTTTTAGTCTAGGCAGTTTAGATGCTTTGTAACATTGCGCAGCGTTCAAAGTCCATCCGCCCCGCCCGACCCCTGCCCAGTGCTGGCGCAGCCTGCCAAAAGCGGACAGCAGGGGGCGGTCCTTACAACATGGCGCACCATCACCACAGGTTGCAAAAAGAAAATACATGAAGCAAGGGGGGGAGGGATGCATGGGGGCCCCCAGCTCGCCCGGCGGGGCGCGGGCAATGGGCACCCAGTGCTGTGCAAGCAGCCTAAAAGGGAGGGGGGACCGCCAGTGCAGAGCGGCCGGCACCTAGATCCAGCAAAGACGTGCGCCTCGCGCGCATCAGGCGGCGCAGGGAGGCCGCGGCTCGGCGCGCTTCGGCTGGGCGCTCGAAAAGCGCAACCGCCCGGCGGCCGTCTCAAGGGCAGCTCGGGGCGCGCACGTCGAAACGCGCCCGGCCGTGAGGGCTGGGGCTGTGGCGCGTCACTGCTC